TCCCCCCCCCCCCCAACCCCGGACTCATGTCCGGCGAACCCCGCGCGGGCAACCGTGACGTTGGCGTCGCCCGCGCAGTACAGCCCGCCCCCGCGCCCGTGGGCGCTGTTCTCCGACAGCGTCGAGTCCAGCACGGACACGGCCCCCCCGTTCGTAACGTAGATCGCGCCCCCAGCGGGGCCCCCCGGGTCCACCGTCGGGCTGTAGCTGTCGCCGCTGCTGTCGCTGCCGCTGGAGGTTGACCTGGCGGCGGCGGCGGCGCCCTCGGCCACGTTGCCGGTGAAGCCGCACCCTTCCGACGCCCAGAAGCTGCTGCCGCTCCCCCAGGCGTTGACGGCGCCGCCCCCGATCTCGGCGACATTCGACGTGAAGTTCGTCCCGCCGGTGGCCGACACCGCCGACCCCGCCGACAGGGACACCCCCCCCCCGAACCCCGCGGAGTTCCCGTCCAAGGCGACCCCGTCCAGGACCGCCTGCGCGCCGTCCTGGGCGAACAGGCCGCCCCCGTACCCGTACCAGAGGCCCCAGGCGCCGAGCTCCGCGGAGTTCCCCCGCATGAAACCGCCGCGCACGAAGACCACCGCCGCCGAATCGTCGTCCTCCCCCGCCGCGGCGATCGCGCCGCCGCGACCGGCCACGTTGCCCGAGAACCCGCAGCCGGCCGCGCGCAACACGCCGCCATCGATGGCCATCCCGCCCCCTTGCGCGCCGGCCTCGTTCCCCTCCAGGTGGCAGTCCTCCGCCTGGACGGCCATCTCCCCGTCCCCGGAGACCCAAACGCCTCCGCCGCGGTGAGAATTTGGCACGTCGAAGAAGCCCTCCCGGTACGCGACCGCGTTGTTGGAGAAGTTGGTGCGGAGGAGGGTCAGGTTGCCCGCGGTGAGGAAGGCCCACAGCCCCGCGCCGTTGCCGCCGGACCAGTTGTCCGAAAAAGCCGTGTCCGTGAAGTTGACGTCGAAGGGACCTTCGTTCTGAGGGGCGCAGAGGAAAAAAAAAAAAAAGAAGACCACCGGCGGGGAGTTCCGAAAAAAGCGAGTGGGTGCGGTCAAAAAACGAGATGCGTGGCGTGGGACAACACTCACACACGCGGAAGGCATTAGTAGGGTGACACAAGATAACATACCCCCAGCAAGTACACTAGACCGTGAGCACATCGCCGGGGTGCGGTGTGGCTCACGTAGTCTACGTGACCGTCCCCCTAGCGAAATGGAGACGAGCCATGCATAGGACATACAACGACAGGCTCTAGCGGCGGTATGGCGGTTAAAGATAGATTGTTAAGGAGAGTGTACACATGAATATATTACAGGAGTAGAAAAATTAAGTAAGAGTGTGTGAAAAATACATAGGCTTGTCCCCCCCTCGTACACCGTACAAATAGCCACCACATCAGTTTGTCGTGAAACAGTCGCAAACCACGTCACAAACCACGCAGCACAACAGGCGGACCACTGTTTCAGGCCACCCCCCGACGCCGTGAGGCGTCACAGCGCGTGACCGCCGAATGCTCACGGCTCGCGTGCATACTAATCAGGTTGGAAGTATTCAAATCGCAACTAAGGACATGTTCTTATGGCCAAGTTATTAACCATATTTTATTTGTTGAGCATAAACTTCATGGCTCACTCCTAGGTTCTCGTGTACATACGTGGTGGCATCTTTTTTCCTTCCTCTTCCAGAATGTATAAATAATACCTACATATATCACTTTTTGCAGGGGCCTAAAACTCTGCAAACATACACATACAGCCGTCGCTAATACTCTTCCCATCAAGAACGAACACGTCGCCAACCCTAATCCTCACTCAACCACATGTACATGCACATACGCGAAACCAACCGGCCAAGTTTCAAGACAGACCGCGTTCTTCGCGAAGCTTGAAAGAGATGGGGGTCTTCGTGTTCCTATCCCTGACCCCGTACCCCCTACAAAAACCAAGCTTAGACCCAGCGTGAAGGTTAAACACTCATCACTCACGATGATCATGATTCCCCCGCCTTGGGCGTTTCCGAGATTCCCCACGAAGGACGAGCCCTCGACGGAAATACTGTTGCTTCCAGAAAAATACGCGGCACCAGCGCCCTCCGCTCCGTTGCCGGTAAAACTGGACGACTTGATGGAAACCGCCGCCTGACCGAAGACGTAGAGGGCCCCTCCTACGTGCGACAATGACGATGACCAGCTCGCGGAGTCGGAGGCGAAGTTCCCGGTGAAGACGCTGTCGAGCACGTCAACCTGATGTAGTTTCGCCGCCGCGGCATTGTTCGTGAGAGGGCGAGAGGGGGGGGGGGGAGGGAGGGAGGGAGGGAGGAGTCAGAGGTACACGAACCGTCGTGTCTCATCAAGCGACGATACTCACCCTTTGTCAAGAAAAGAAAAGAAGCAGCGTTCAAGTCGAGAAAAGAAGCAGCATTCAAGAAAAGAAGCAGCATTCAAGTCGAGAAAAGAAGTAGCATTCAACACCTCAAGAGTAGTAGGAGGATACATCTTCCTGCTGCGAAGGCCCATCACCAGCCCATTAAGGAAGCCACAAAACAACAACAACAACAACAACAACAACCAACATAGAGCGCCAACACCTCGCGCAGAAGAGAAGCAGCCAGCAAGGCGAGCACACACACACCGAGCACGCACGAGCAGTCTACAGAGGGCAACGCAAACGCACGTTGTGACTACTGTCAAGCACAAAACAACGCAGAGAATGCTGGTTAGCGCCGTCGATACAGTTTCAAAAAATCAAAAACACGCGCGACCACCACCACGCCTAAATGTTAGACGCTTGAGACTGAATCTGGCATCTGGACGCTGGTCACCGGGTGATGCAAACCAAATAACCCCCCCCCACCTGTGCGACATCCCCCTTCACGTGGACCCCGCCGCCGTCCTCCCCCGCCCAGTTCCCGTCGAGCAAGGTGGAATTCATCGTGACGCTAGCCCCGGCATCCGAATAAACCGCACCCCCGTAAGAGGTGGCGTTGTTGTGCCGGAGCTCGCACTCGTGGAAAGCCAGCTGAGGCGTGCCTCCCGACAGGCCGACGGCCCCGCCGACGCCGACATCAAAGTTGTCCCAAGCGGAGTTCGGTCCTTCCGCTACGTTGGCCAGGAAGAGGGTCTTGCGCGCGGTAACCGCCGCGGCGGAGTTGGCCATCACCGCGCCTCCTCGCCACTCGGCCGTGTTGCCTATGTGGTTTGTTGTTGTTGTTGGTGGTGGTGGTGTCGGTCGTGGTGTTGTTTGGTATTGTTTGTTGCTGTTGTTGTCGTTGTCGTTGTCGTTGTTGTTGTTGTTGTTGTTGTTTTCGTTGTCGTTGGGCAGTTGCTGTTGTTGCTGTTGTCAATTTTGTTGCTGCTGGTGTTCTTCTGCAGTCTTCGCACTCGGCAGTCTTCGCACTGAAAATCAGGCATGAATTTTGCTCGGCGCTACTCCAGCCGTCAAATAATCGAATCCCCGTGACTGCTTGTACAGGCTCGCCGACAACACTATATGCATACGTACATCTACAAGAAAAATCAACAGACGCACACGCCACACACACACACACACACCCGCGAAAACAAAAAAAACGTTCAATCACCGACAAGGGTCTTTTCCATGCCGCGTGTACCTTCGAAGCGACAGTCGTTGAGAGCAATGATGGAGCCAGCACCCGTCGACAGGATAGCGCCTCCATCGAGGGGAGCCCTGTTGGCCGTGAAGTTACACGATGATACCTGGGCGATGTTCACATACATTTTGAGGGGGTACCCGGGCGGGGGAGAGATTGTCAGCACGGGCCGATGGGTTTGAGCCACGGGTGAAGTGTGTTTCGCGGTGGATCTCGGACGCCTGCACGAATCGAGACACCAGGAGAGGGTGAACGGTGGGCTGAATGGATCTCAACACAGTGGTGGTCCCAGAATAATCAAGTGTCCTATAATGCCGGCGGTAGGTGACAGGACAAGCATTGGTGCCACCACCAGCGTTGGTGCCAAGACCAGCAATATAGCGGGCAACCGGCCTTATTCAGAGTATGAAACACCTTGAATATTCCATCTGAGCCAGACGATTCCACCGGCATTATATCGGGCATTGTTCAACCCGCGCTTCATAGCGGGACCACAACTGCTGTAAATGAAATAACACTCGAGAGGATGCTCAGGGTAGGAGGTAGGACAACAGCCGACCTACAATACGGCAACAGCAGCAGCAGCAGAAGCAGCAGCAGCAGCAACGACACGACCAACATCACAACCAGCAGCAGCAGCAGCAGCAGCAGCAGCAACAAACCCAAAACAAACATTATGACCAAAACCAGCAACAGCAACAGCAACATCATCAACGACAGCAACAACCACAAACCATAACAACGGCAAGTGGAGTGCGCACCAGAAGGGATACATGCTCGCCATCGGCGTAGATGGCCCCGCCACCGTTATAGTAGGGCGCCGACCCATTCCGCAGCTCCAAGTTTTGCAAAAACAGAGAGGCTCCCCCAGATACCTATGACGCCGGGTTGGGTACAAGGGCATAGCGAGGGTTAAGGAGGAAAACGACCCCCGAGTCTGGTCAAATTTGGTGGCGGTTGGCTCGAGTCGAGAATACGATCAATCACGCGCTACTGCTGTGCATATATGCATACATGACCAGCAACTACAGAAACAGCAACACCACGATAAACAACAACATCAACACGACATCAACAACTTGCGGCTTCAGTCGAGATCACGACTAAGTCGGCGCTGTACTGCGTACACTTCAAGTATGATGATAAATAACAACAAAACCACCACCACCACGAATAACAACAACAACAACAACAACAACACACCTGAAAGAGCCGACTACCACCACCGCCATCCAAAACAGAGCCGTCCCCAACCCCCTCGATCGACAAAGTGGTAGAGTTCCCCACCACCACCGGCTCCGACAGGGTCAGCGCCCCCTGCCAGGACACCACGAACGCCCCATCGGAGCAGTTGGTGCTTTCCACCAGGGTCGCCAGCTGCGCAGCGGTGGACACCGTCATCTCCGCAGATGCTGGGGAGCAGGCGGGCGGCGCTGCCTGCTGCGCGAAGGACGACGAAAAACGGCAGGCGAAGACCGCTAAGGACAGCAGCAGCGCCGACGTCGTGGTCGTCGTCGCCGTTGCCGTACCGAGAGTGCTCGTTACACCCCTCCTGCTGCTGCTGCTGCTGCTACTGCTGCTGCTGCTGCTACTGCAGCTTGAGGGTGGTGACCGAGGTCGCACTCTTGCCCGCCTGGTTGTGCTCCTGCTGCAGCTGCTCGGAGCGGCTTCGGTGGTACCCATAAACATTCTCCTGGTCGACTTTGCCTCGATCGAGTGTCTGCAAGCAGGGTGGACGAACAGGCAGTCTTTTTGTGTGTGTATTTATTATTCCTTAAAGCTTGATTTGGGATGGTAGGGGGGGTGTAGACGCAGATAATGGCCCGATAGTTTCGGCGGCGGCCTCATCATCTCTTCCCGTCCCTTGAAATGACTAATCAAATCAGTAGATTGCCAGCAGTCCCGGTTGTTTTCTCCGCGCACCCCTGTTCACTTGGCCCCGAAGCTTTGCAGGGTTTGAGTCTCTGTGCATGTCCCGACATATCACCATCCACCGCCAGGTAAGGGTAACGAACCTAAATTTTTACGCTGTATACAAGCAGCGTCGTCGGTTCAACTCGCTGCTCGGGTGAACCATCAGCATTTGTCCATATATTCGTGAGAATATAGAATGAGAGACTGCTGGAGGTTTAATTAACCCTGTCATCACGTTAAAGTGACTAATAAATCGTGAGTAGAGAAGGGAATGGGACTGCTGAAGGATCCACCTTCTCGTCATGTCGAGTCCGACGGCAAGCACAGCCGGGGAGAAGGTGGGACAAAAACAAAAAAAAGTCCTCAAACTTACACCTCCTGCTGATGGCTGGTGTACATCGTAGATTGGTGCCGGCGAAACTGCTTAGCAAGTAATACGAAAACACGACATCAACATCCACAACTCACCGTCATCACAACCTTCGACATCCAAGGGGGACCGCTACACAAAATGCCTGCCACACCGGGCTGCTCCAATAAATGTGTGGCCGCTTGCATGCCTACTTCGTTGTGCATATGTAGCGCATCATATGCAAGAAGTGGTGCTACAAATAGTGTATGCATACGTTACAGGTCTCAGGAGGGAATGTGATGAGAACGTGATGTTGATGGGAGGTCATTGAAATTCAAAACCCAGGGAGAGTTTTACGTACAGGCCGCGCGGCCGCGCAGCAAGATTGTTGGGGAATACGGCCGTACGGATGACGAACAAGTGCATCAAATATGTGGGGAGTGTGCGTGGATCCGTGCCGAAGAGACGAGCCAACACGTGGCCACGGATGTGGAGGGCACTGGGGGGAGAGAGGCAGGCGAGGACTTGAAAAATCACCTACACATCAAAGTAATCACACGACTTTTTTAGGCTCATAAATGCATTAGCCCCAGCATACGCACAGAATCATATGCATAACAGGAGCACGTCCCTCCTGCTGTGCTTGGACAATAGATGGTTGCGCGATAAAAGATGCGCATCGGAGGCCAGGATTGAGTGGTCTCAGCTAACGGCTTCAGCATCGCTGCATCTCGCATAGACTACATTTGTACATCGGGCATCAACAATCAACCAAGGTTCACAGAAGCAGCAGGGTCGCTGCTTCTGCCCGTGGGTATGCGGGCCTTCAGACTACTCCTTCACAGACACACGCCATGGGCCCCTAGTCGAGACGGAAGGGGTAGCAAGAGCCGCCAGCCCATGGTGGACTCCGTGTTCATCTCTCACCTTCTACACAAGTCCAGCCCCATCCTGTCGTGCAGTCCGTGAGTCTGGTTTGCGTTTGTGTGTTTCCCCGTCCACATCAGCATGACGTCATGGTGCAGCGTCGGGGGCTCAGTAAATCATCTACCCCCCCCCGAGAAAAAGCCGACAATGGGATTATGAAGTATGCACCTGCCATACACACACGTACACCAGCGATTGCGCTGAGAGGATAGCTTATCCTCCCGACACGGCACGGAGGGTTTCAGGATAGCAGCAGAAGGAGACAGAGAAGAGCGCTGCGTGTGTGGGGAGTGCGGCAATTGATCAACGGTTGGCCCTGCGGCGGGAGACATTTACGCCATTGCAGCGAGAGAGGGGGGGACCAGGCCATCATAAGCAAGCTGCAGCAGCAGCAGCAAATTTCGAATAGCGGCGGCGGCCGGCCCGCGCGTTGCACGACCCCGATGCCTCCATGTAGGTCATCGCAAAGGCCGCGAGGACACGGATCCAAGGAAGAGGCGGGGTGAGTGGCTTCGGTAGTAGAGAGAGCGCGCCACTGGTTTGGTCAAATCATCTCGCACTTTGGCAGACTCGACAAAAAGCACGTAAATTGCCCCCGTGGTGCGCCGCCACACGACTGATTGATTGAAATTCGAGTGTACATCACTTGGGTACATATGGATATTTGTCTCCTTTTCGAGGCGTGTTTTCGACCACCGTTAAGTGGTGCCGGTAGTCGCAAGCGCCTTCGGAGAGGAGCGGCATGCAGAGCCTCTGCGTTTCAAGCACTTGCCGGGAAACTCCGGCAGGATTACCTGCAGATCAAAGCTGAGATGAGAGATCATCCGTCTCCTGTTCTGTGTTAGGCCGATTGGACCGGAAGGACCACAGAGAGGGATCAAAAGGCTCTGATTTTGATCCCTCGAAGAGCATCGTCTCTGCATGGCGTGTGTGTGAGAGAATAATTGTTTGTGCATCGCAAGGCTTGTGTGCAGAGAGATTTCACTACTGTTTTGCTGCAGATCCAACGTGGACTTGTGTCTCGGCACTCAGACGTGCTCTCTGCAGTGCACGTGCGTATACATGTATGTATCCAGCTTTGGGGTACAAAATGCATGTCAAAAAGGCCAGGTTGACTTTGTATGACCGTTTGTCTCCAACAGCAGTCTCCGATTAGTGTCCACTTGTCCTTGTCTCCAGTACCGCTTTTGCGGCAAAACCGGTGTTCGCAGCTTGCGAGAGCGACGACAGAGCAGTGCCTGCTGTCCGCCACAGTTGCAAAGCTTTTGCTAAACGCCCTTGGCATATTCAAACTTCCGTCCATGTCGGTACCAAGCCCATTCTACGCCCGTCGTCGGAGCGAGAGAAACTTCGAAAATTCCGAACTGCCTCGGAGATCGCTGATGATTATTCGGTGTGCTGGGGGCCTTGTTCAACAAGCATTGAACCGGGAACAGCATGAGATGAGGAGCACGCGTCACGTGTTCCCGGTGAAACTTGAAAGTGAAGACTGTTATGCATGTATGCATGTATACAACATGCATGCATACTCTCCGTATATGTGCATATGTCGCAAGCAATGACAGGGGCAGTGCCACCAGCAGAATCGGCAAAATTAACTTATTGGGCACCCACCCACCCCCCCCGCGCACAAACTTGACCTTTGCAACACTGCGTACCATGAGGTTGCACTAGTGCTGCATGTTGTGTTCGTCCTACGTACTTCGCTTGGTATTTATTATGGCGGCTAGGTTGCGCTTCTTAGATTCTACCTTGCTGTCTTTTCCAGCTGGTCTCTTCTTATGTGATGCACCACCTATGATATTAATATTGGAAGTATTTTTTTCCGGCTTGGATGAGGCACAGAACCTCCACTAGTTGGAGTACTTCGCATTGTATTGTGCATACCTCCGCTGCCATGCACGTGTTACGAGGAGCGTATGCATACATAGAAGTACTGAACGTGTCTTTAGTTCGTCCCGCCAATTCGCTACACTGCTGTAATCAACTCTCCGGTAGGTACCATGTTTGACCCACCAGCCGGGGTCACGCAGTTGAAAATATGTACTGAAGTTTTTTTGTGCTCCACCCCTCTCCTGTGATCCTTGTCTTCAACTTGTCTTCAACTTGTTGAAAACCACAAGAAGGGTTTGATGGTCAATGAATCCCTCTTGAGTTTCTCTCGACCATGCAACTTTTCCCACCTCTAGATTTGCAAAGTCCACTTCACAGAGATTCGAACCCGCAATTTACTGCTGTGAGTCAGACGCTTTCCGGGGTTGCATGCACACCTAACCTAAACATGTGCGACGCGAACAGCTGTCGACTGCAACACCTCAACAAAACAATGGACGATGCACTCAAGCCGCGGCGGGTGTGAAGTTGCTGTGGCTGAAAGAAATTTAAGCTTCTTTATTTAAAAAGTCGTTGCCGTCTGGCAGCACATGTACGAGAGAGATTGCCTCTTCATCTTCACGCTGAACGCTCCACTATCAAGCTATGCATGGACAACTTTCCTGCGCAACTACCCGGTTCGCGGACTCGGCATAGTCGCGGCCCTTCAACCTTTGCTTTAGAGAACACATTTTCTAGAAATTATACTTCTTGAAAGTAGTTTCTGTCTCAAGCTCATGACACGTGCACCCGAGGAATTCTACTGGTGTTTTTTATGCTTGCCGTGTCAATAATGGTTGATGAGACATCTGGTGCATGTCTATGATACGACCAACAACGTCTTGACACGCAGTTTTTTTCTCCGCCATCACAAGAGTACCATATGCCTCGTCTTTGGCCTCGGCACATGCGGCAGCAGGTCGTGTGTTTGGGCCTGCAGGAGAGATGTGGACCCGGGTTGTGTGCAGGAGTACAGCAGCAGCATTACCAAGGCATGTTTTTCGTCGACAGAAACTGACACGAAGAAGCCCAATATATTGACAATCTTTTGCTGTCCCCAGTTGTATCAAGTCCAATGCTCAATACCGACTTTTTTACGCTTGGTTTTGTCGCAAAACAATCTGTGTCTATGAAGACGTTGCGCTATCCGGACGGCGATGTGTAGCGATGGTCTTCGGTCGTTTGGTGTTTCATTGAGTTATGATCCGTGGATGGATAGATACCGTAGCTCTCTTCGCGCATTTGAGCCGAAGGAAGAGTAGGATTCCTTGTCCCTCAAGAGACACCCAACATGCGTGACAATCAATCGCCGTGCTCTTCTCCTTGATGACAGCTGCGGGCGTGTCGACGTGAGCGGTGTAACAAGACGGCATCCGTAGCACTGGTTAACCTGTTGTGTGCCATCTGTCTTATCTGACCTTCATCTAACGGTGCCCCCCCCCCCCCCCCCCCCCCCCCCCCCCCATGCCATTTCCCCCCCTTTAAAAAAAT